GCAGCAGGGGAAGTTGGGAAAGACTTTGGGAACAGGGTGGACAAATGTAAGGGGTCACATCCTGCCTGCCTGTCCCCAGGCAGGACAAGGGCTGTGTGGTTGGATGGTGCCCAATGTAGACCCTGCACTGCAGCGCTGATGAGCACATGGGGGCAAGTGCTGACGCAGTTCCTCAGCTTGCAGATGCCCCTTTGGTTCAGCAACATCTCAGATGCTCAGTAAAACAAACTGCTTGCTATTGGCTTCGCTCTTTGCTAACCTCAGGTTTATTTACTCAGTAACTTATCAGTCAGGGCCCAGACCATCACCATGGTCAGGGCCACCCTCAGACTCTGCCCAGCACCAGGAGAGCGGGTTTGCGGCACCGCAATGTTTTGATCTGCTCAGCTTTCAGGGCTGCTTGGGGACTGTGTGGGATTCTTCTCCCCCTTTCCTGCTCTCAAGGCCAGGTTGGACACAGGGGCTTGGAGCAAGCTGCTCCAGTGGAAGGTGTCCCTGTGCATGGCAGGGGTTGGAACTGGATGAGCTTTAAGGTCCCTTCAACCCAAAGCAGTCTGGGATTCTCTGAGATAAATAAGGGATTCTCTGAGATAAATAAAGGATTCTCTGAGATAGATCACATGGGAACCATGGTCCCCTTCCAGACTGGTTCCTCCAGGCTGTTGCTCTTTTCCACCCCAAGTCTAATCGCCCCAAATGCTGAATGACACCTTGGTGCTACTGTATGCTCCTTGTTTGACAGGAGCTCAGCAGCAGCAGTGCCTCTGCCTCGGTGATCTCCACGGGGCTGATGGGGAGATGCCAGCTACGTGCAGGACATGACTCAGTTCCTGCCATTCAGGAGCCAAATCCCTGCTTGGGAGAGGCTGGGCTGGCTGTGGGCTGGCAGCGCATCCTGCTCTGCTCCAGCTGTGCTCAGTGCTGCCTGCCTGGGTGTCTGGGCTGGTGCCCAGCTCTAGGAAACGGCAGGAGAAGTGCCATGAGAGCCGTTGGGAAAGATCCCCAACCATGACCCCTACCTACAGAAGCACAGTGCCTGGAGAGCGCAGAGAAACTTCACACACCCTGCGCCAATGGGCAGCTTGGTCATTTTGGTGGTTGCCATGATGCTCTTCAAGAGAAGCTTTGGACCTTGCTGTGCCATCACTGAAACAGAGTGACAAGGATGTCTGCTGGGTGAAGGGCACCATGTCCAGGCCATGGGCCAGCTCAGGGGGCATCAGTGGCCAGGTCGTTGCTCACTCTATGGCCTGGTGACAGCAGAGCTGTGTCGTGCTCTGGGTGAAGCCTCTGCAGGCACATCCCAGCAGTGCTTGACCAGAGGGTCAGAGCCATGGGGTGACAGCAGCTGGGCTTTATTTAAAGCGTTTGACTTGGAACCGGGGCTGTGTGACCGTGACAATGGTGGCCAACATATGTGTTTATATATCAGAGGAATAGATCCTGAATCACTCCATGGTGGCAGCACACTGAGGGGTAGCATCGGGGCTTCTGCAGCATGTCCACGGCAGAGATAATTACCTGCTTGATGATGATGATGCCAGTAAAGAAGCTGCCTGGCGGTGCAAGAGGAACTGATGCATTGCCAGAGTTACTTCACCTCAATAAATCAGTTTTAAATATTCAGCTGTTATTTACATTGAAGCTACGTTTCATGCCTCTGGGCAGAAACACAGAGGAGGTTCAGTAGCTGTTATACAGTAGGTGAGTAAATTTACTTTAATGGTTCTTTGCCTAACAATATTAAGCTGAGAAGAGAATGAAGGAGGGGTTTGCTGGAGCAGTCAGAGCTGTGAAAACCTGGTTCCTCACTGTCTGGTCATGTTTTATAATGCTGAGAAAAAGGCTGGGGCCCAGCCCAGCTCTCCCAGAGCCCCTGCCTGCTTTCACTGGTGGTGGTTCATGACAGGAGCTGCTCCGTCATGTAGATTCTGCAACCCTTGCTGCTCCCAGCATGACTCTTCATACTGTGATTTGGTGACAACACGCACTTTATCTCTAAGCACGTGCTTACCTTCCCTTAACTTAAGGGCAGTACCGGCAGCGTCCCACCAAATCAATGTACTAAGGTAATGATTACGTTAGAACATCAAGCTATTCCCACTTTCACCTTGGCCTCTTCTGGCTGGTGACTCAGCACCCGGGTGTTTGCACAGGCCCTTTCTGTAGTCACAGCAGCGACCATCATCCTTCCTCATGATCATGCGTGATGTACCCCCGTGAAAGCAAAGCTAATCCAAGGAGCGCAGGCGTTCACTGTGAATAACCATCTCCAACGAAGACCATCTCTTCACTGACAGGCTGTCAGCCCTCCCCGTTGCTCTGGCTCTTGGACAGCACATTTGCCATCTCCTTCTCACAGCGTTTAAACATGATGCTGGGGCAGCTCTGCTGTGCGCTGGGGAGGAGCGAGCAGCACTAAAGTGAACACGTCACCATCACAGCCCCTGGAAAACCAAGGGACTTCTGAACTGCTTCTGCAAACCTTCAGGACGGGCCTTGTCTTTGCAGAAGAGTTCAGAAGAGCAGGTGGAAGGAGCCTTATCTGGGGTCGTGTGTTCTCAGCAAGAGGCAGTGGTGGACGCGCGGAGCGGTGCTGGCTTTCCCTTGTGTTCCTGCGCACAGCCCGATTCAGGGACACAAACTGCTCGACCCCTTCAGTTTCTGTTTCTGAACAATGGTCCCTTTTGCGTTCTCCAGTGTCAATACAGCAGCTCTGGGGATGTGGCAGGGGAGGAGCAACTAAACACGAACAGCACAAGCCAAGGAGCCACGTTTTCCTCTTCCCACGTGTGGAGCCGTAGGGCAGCAGCAGCTCTCGGTGCTCCTGCAGCACTGACTAAGCCTGGCCAATGCTGGAGCTCAGGATCCAGACTTTGCCAAGAGACTGGATTTCTGGGAACTTGCTCCTAATCAAATCTTTCTGTTTTCAGGCCCCGCAACCCCAGACCAGCTCTGGCTGTTTAAAACTTACCACGGGGTTTTGAAAGCAATGGGCTTGGCCTCACTGGTGCCCTGTCTGATAACTTCTCACCTTCTGGAGCAGCGAGACTTAGTGGGAATGAGAGAAAAGTCCAGGAGAACCCTCTCAGTGGCTGCACCTGCCCTTCAGACACCTGTGCCATGGAGTGTGCTCACACGTTGGCTCCTGTCCCCGCATCCTCCTGGCCATGCCCAGAGCAAGCCCTGCTCCCAGTGGCCACGCAGAGGAGCTGAGGGCTCCCCCCAGCCCCTCGGCGCTGACAGCTCCCCCCCATTCACCCTCCCGTCTCCGCGGCTGGCAGGAGGAGCGGGACAGGGCTCGCACGGAGGCGGCCGCAGCGTGATTCAGAGGCACAGCTGCGGTTCTGTGGGAACCGAGCCCTCCCCGGCACCGCGGGCCGGAAGAAAATCAGAACAAACGTCCCTAGGAAAGGAGGAGCAGGGAAGCCGAGCCAGAGTAAACAGGCGCTGGGAGCAGGGGGTGGGAAGGAGGGGACATGCATGTCAGCCGGCAGCTAACGGGCTGGGGGAGGACGGTAATGGGTTTCTCATGTCTTGCTGGCAGTCGCTGGTTCTCCATGTCTCTAAGGAGAGACGTTGGCATCTGTGCTGGGTGCACCCAAACCGGCTTGGCTTTTGCTGTTCGTGTCTCTGAGAAGCTGGGACGTGGAGGGGCACCTTGGCTTTCCTGGCCGTGAAGGCACCCGGTGCCTGGGGTTGGGAAAGGAGTGGGGCAGCACAGGGCTTTGTGCCCTTCGGCACTGCATCAGCCTGTCCCTGGGCCACAGCGGAGCTTCTATGTAGCACATGTAACAGCAGCAGGTGCCCAGGGAAGGCATTGGTTTAAATCTGGCTCTTCACAAGCAGTTATGGTGGGTGAGCAGTGCTCAGGCATTAGTTAACCACAGGCAGCTGTGTGGTTTAACCCCACTGAGGGCTTCAGGAGCTGCAGATCTGTGTGTGGCTTCAGGGCCCCTCCGTGGTGCATGTCCTATAGAATGGGCACATCGCATACCTGAGCAGTGAAGGCTGACACCAGAGCTGGGTGAAGCTGCCCACCTCAGTGCTGTTGGAGGATGCACAAAGCAGGGATGTCAAACAGGGGAAGAAGCCCATGTCCCTGGCTCCCAGCCCCATTGCCTGGATGCGAGACTGAACGGAGACACAAACCCTCACTTGTAATTCTCCTAAGCAATCCATCATTAGCAGTTGCTTTCAGATGTTGGCTCAGAAAAGTTTTTCAGGGTATTGCTATCCACCCGGAACAAGTTTGTGTGGGCTGCAGTCTGGCATCTGTAAGCCAGGAATTGCACTGTTTGGGAAACTAGCAGAATCCCTGCTTTCCACACACATGTGTACTTCCCACTTGAGTGTATGAGCTAGCATGGGAAGGGACATCATATTTCAGGACCGCTGCAATCTCCAGTGAAAGCCAGCATTGCTGCAGGCACATGAGCAGCTGAAGCAAGTTGGCTTTGGTATAAAGGCTGTAAGTGTGTGGTGAGGCTGGTTAAGTCTTTAGCTGCCTATTACAGGGGAGAATTGAGAGCCAGCATTGTCTCAGCTGTAACAGATCAGCCCAGAAGTTCATGTAGCCCAGCAGCATGCCCCAGCATGCCCATTAGTGGCTGCTTAGAGCAAGAGGGTAAGCTGGTGGTTACAGAGTGAGCTTTCCCCCTGTTCTTGCCTTCCTTGCAGTTGGTGGGTTCGGCTCATGCAATGATAAAGCCCTCTTTAAGACTCCAGTTCATACCTCCCATTGAAGGATGTCTGTGGGCAGGGGCGGTGCTTGGTGCCTCTCAGGAACAGTAGGTAAATCACCTCCCCAGATTGCTGTGTTGGTGTAGAGCACAGGTGAGATTTTCACCCCTCCGGTGATGGCAGAGGTGAGGTTCCCACAGGGGTGTGGGTGGGGATTTTGTGGCTTCAGCCAAAATGGTGATGACTTTCACTGCAGGGAGGTCACGAGCACTCATTTATATAATGGCTCTATCCTGGTTTTGTTCTGGATGCTGTAGGTATAATAGTCTGGTGACTGGCAAGCGGGCAAGAGGCCTCATCGCTGTGCTGTGGCTCCTGTCCTTTGGAATTGGACTGACTCCACTTATGGGCTGGAATAAAGCCATGAGCGGCTGTCCCAACACCACCAACGAGACAGGGGTTGACACCAGGACACAGCACCATGGCTGCTTCATCTCATGCCTCTTTGAGAATGTGGTAACGATGAGCTACATGGTGTACTTCAACTTCTTCGGCTGCGTGCTGCTTCCCCTGGTTATCATGCTGGGAATCTACATTAAGATATTCATGGTCGCCTGCAAACAGTTGCATCAGATTGAACTGATGGGCAACTCCAGGACCACGCTGCAGAAGGAGGTCCATGCAGCCAAGTCTCTGGCCATCATTGTGGGATTTTTTGCCTTCTGTTGGCTGCCCCTGCATATCTTGAACTGCATCACACTCTTCCACGAGGAGTTCTCCAAATCCAAGCCTGAGTGGGTGATGTACATGGCCATCATCCTCTCCCATGCCAACTCTGTCATTAACCCCATCATCTACGCCTACCGGATCAGGGACTTCCACTACACCTTCCGCAAGATCATTTCCAAGATCCTCTGTAAGACTGACGACTTCCCCAAGTGCACCACTGACAACAACCAGCACCTGACTGTCACCAACATTAACTGCCCTGTAGCCTCTGTCACCATATGACCCTGCATGTCCTGCTCCCGGGATCCTGCAGTGTCCCTGACACTATCCTCCCCTGTGCCTCTGTGACCAGTTGCAGCTCGCTCCCGGAGGAGCGCTCAGAGATGACCACTATGCAGTTATGCAGCTGTATTTTTTGTTATTATTATTATTATTTTTGTAATTAACACAGTGCCTCCTGGAGGGATAACCTGAGCGGGGAGACTGACTGTGAACCCAGGTTGCGTGAGTGCTGGTGACCGTGTTGTGTCTCCATTCCAGGTCAGACACTGACTGTGGAAGACCCACTTGCTGGGGGCGTTTCCCCAGTTGTGCTGCTCGTGTCAAGTCCTATTTTAATTGTTATTATTATTTTTTTTAAGCTTTTGATTCCTTTAGGAGTAATAATTTTGTGTCTGGTTTTTGAGTTGTTCTTTAAGTCCGTACTTGACAGCACTTTGGTAATACCCGAATTATTCCATCAATTGTTTGATGCAGCTAGTATTCTCCAATGGGAAAAAGTCTTACTTAGCCCAGTTGCTGGTGTGAAACTGAATCTGCGTTCCAGGCTCTGAGGGACGTGATCATGTGGATGGGAAAAGAAGCTCAGAACTGGCCAGCTCTTTCTGGCCCCAGCGTGGAAGCCCTACTTACTGAAAGAGAAGAATTTTAGGGAAGAGTAGACTGAAGTTTTAGCTCAGTGCTTTTATTGCCTTTAAATCCCTTTGGCTTACAGGACTCTGCAGCCCAGTGCTTCAGGTCTGCTTTCAAATCTGTTTCCAGCTAGGAAAATGCAAAAGGCAGATGTGCCCTGAGGCTCGGCTAGTCTGCTCCATTCACTGAGGTTACTGCAAAGCCTGCTTTAGTGACACTATCTTTACAATGAGGTTTTTGCTCCCAAGTCAAACCTTGACAGCCTGGCAGTGCTTCCAGAAGTGCTGGGTTTAGCTCGCCTGATTCCTGAAGCTTAGTCCCGTTGAGGCTCCTCTGTAGCCCAGTAACCCCCAGAAGCTGTGAGTGCTTTGTTGTCTAATGGTGACTCTTATTTTTGCATTCTATTTTTTAATCCTGACCTGCACTGTTAGCAAAAGAGACTATAGGGGAGCTAATTCATTTGAGAAGCTAGAATGCCTTGCCTTGTTACTCGATTTTCACCAAGCTCTTGGGGCTGAAGCTCACCTTGCAGCCTTTGCAGTCAGCCAGGAGTCCTGGCCTGACCTAAGTACAAAGCCCACTGAACGGTGTAAATTGGTACTGCAGGTTCCTAACTGTCTGCAACCACAGCTCAGTGATTACTGCACCTGATTTAATATGTAACTGTGACATGTAAAACTAGACAAAGGTAGAACAGCACCTTCATTTCTGAATGCTCTGCTTCTCCAGATGCATGATGGCACGTGCACTGCTGTAAATGTTTCTGGCATGGCCTTTGTTTTACAAACAGGACTCTTGCCTGAAGGTCCCTGCGTGGTAAAGTGGACCTGTCTGTCTCCAGTAGCTTCACCATGCAACCAGTGAGAAGTGCAAGGGTGTGTATGAAATGGGGTTTTCAGTGGTAACTCATGCAGGGAGACAGAGAGAGCGAGCAGGACTTTCAGAGCAGGGAAGGAAGTTTAAACACAGCCAGCTCCTGAAGAACAAGTCCAGTGGGCAGACTGTGATGCCTGGAGCAGTTTGTCCCTGATAAATTGTACTTGAATCATACAGAAATCGGCTTTCTATTTTTTTTTTTTAACTGCATTGCACTAAAAGGGGAGTAATAGAAGACCCCAAGAGTTTTATTTCTCTGGTGTATATAATGACAAATGCGGTGTAAAATCAGCTGAAAAGCTGATGTGAAGAACTCCTGTTCCTGCAGCATGTGCTGTGCCAGCTGGAGTGACCAGGCAGCACTGCAGGCATGGCTTGGGCCCCCCATGCAGCCAGGGAACAGCTCACTGGTAGTGATGGATTTTGCTGCTCTGTGTGTCACAGCTGAGCTGTAAGAGCCAGCCTCAAACCTGGGTGAATCACCAGTAGGCTCTGAATGGGTTTGTACATGTTTATGCAATGTCCAAATTTAGCTACAGCTCAGTATCTCGGATACTGGCATTTACAAGAAGAAGCTGAATAGTTAAAGTTACTGTCCCAAGTGTTTCTCCTTTAACAGCCCCATTCATCTTTGCTGCATGTGTCTTGGTCATAGTCCAGCTAACACATGTAGCCACCTCTTGCCATTTGGGCAGGGTTTGACTCTCTCCTCCTTTCAATCCTTCCCTTCTGTATGATCTTTGGCTGGGTTCCTTCTGTTAATCATGGCTGGAAACAAGCAGGGTTTCACCTGCAGGTCTGGCAGTGCTGCAAAGCAGTTGCAAGCCACATTTATCCTTACAACAAAGAATGTGATCTCTCCCTTCCTGCTGGCTGAAAATGAAGCAAGCTCTGGACAGCATGGACAGACTGAAACACACAGCGCTGCAACACGGAGAGAGATGTCCCAGAACACTTTTTGTATGTGACAGCTTGCACTGCAGCTCAGCAGCCATCACTGCTACCTTTCCTACACCTCCTATGAGCCAGAATTCCTGCAGACACTTGTGATGCAGCCTTAGTATGAACTTGCCCTTGGGTTGTTAGCCTTTAGCAACTATGGCCTGGGTCACCAAGGGCTTTAGGCACATTAAGTGCCTTTGTGGATCTGAGCCAAAGACATTTCAAGGCAAAATAAAAACAGAACACCTCCCTTTCCCCTCTCCAAAAAAAAAAAGCTCTGAAGGTATCTATAAAAATGTGAAGTTAAAATGGCAGAGGAATTTCTGTAGCGAGCACAGCTGTAGCTATTCAGCTTTCATTCCTTACTGCTCTTATGTACATAGGATGATGTGTTTTCCTCGTGTTGCTCAGATTTTGTATTTGCAGTAAGTGTTATTTACATACAGAATGCTTAATTTACCACCTACACAACCTGGCTCAGCCTCTGCCCCATCATTTCTTGCTGTGTTGTGTTCACACATGTGTCATATGAGGCCGCCCTGTACTCCAAGACAGGCCCAATCTTGGAGCACTGGCAGGGATGCACAGAGGTGGAAGGAGCTGCTTCCCAGAGGACTGGCTGCTGTTCAGAACAGGGGAGCAGTAGTTTCCTTTCCCCCGTGTCTGGTGTGGACAGCCTTGCCTTGCCTGCCAGCACGAGGTGCTAGACTTGTCTGAAACGGGTCGACTGAAAAGCACAGCTACCATGGTGATGCTTCCAAAGATCATGTAGTACAGTAAGCACAACAGAAACACCAGTCTCAAGATGCTGAGGAATCCCTGCCCTAATCCCTGGTACAGGTTTGACAGTGATGAATCAGAAATTGTAGCTGTAAAAACCAGGCTGTTTGTATCCCCACATCACAAGCATATAATATTACAGATTAGTTCAGCCATCTTCAGATACCCCAAGAACAGCCTAAAGAAATGAAGCTGAAGTCAACACAGGCTTCTTAACATTTATTAATTAATCTACCAATTCTAATGCTAATTAATGTCACACTTGGCTGCAGCACAGGAAGAAACCTACCAGCCATGATGAATATTTGGCAGCCTTGTAGGTACAAAAAAAGCCAGCAACACAGCTGGGAGGGTACACAGAAAGCACATCCACATGTGATACAGATCCTTCATCCTTCATCCTCTTCATCAGCCAGTAAGATGTTTATGAGCTGCTCCTCAGACACTGTTAGTTCCTGACAGGCTCCCATGGCCCGACTGAGGTAGACAGCAAGTATATGTTTGCACTGCAAATAATAGCAAATAATAGCACAGCCAAGTTAACAGCAGGAGCTACACAGGAATGTCAGTGCTCTATCTGGTAGCTACAAAAATCCATCCTGGTCTAATGAAGTGCTCTCCCCTCCCAGGAACGTGGTTCTCTCTTGGCACACCAAGCCCCGGCACAGGCTGGTGCTCCAGTTGGCTCTGGTCAGTTCTGCCATCAGGATAACATAATACAGGGATCTGACACACAACAAAGTGTTACTGGCCTCTGATGTCCTCCCCACAATTGCAGATCAATTGGTTACCCTGAGCCCTTCCTCACTGGCACCAGGTGAACACCAGCCACACCCCATGTGGCAGTCCCATTAGCAGCAGTAGCCCTCATTCCAAGCGAGCAGAGATTATTCATCTCTGGAAAGTCAGAGCAGTAAGGCCTAAGTAAGAACAAAAACCCTCTCTAGCCCTTGTAAAGCTGAGCTCCACCCAAATACCATGACTCCCAGTGGGCAGATGATGCAGTGGGTCAGGCAGAGCCTGCATGGCCAACTCAACACTCATGCATTTACTCCTTGGAAACTTCAGGCTGCTCAGGTTCAATATGCAGAGCACAGCTTCTCTCCTGCTCCCTGTCTCAGCCCCAAGTTAAGGCAGACAACTTACCAGAAGGCTCTCACTCTTCTGCAATACACTGAACCCAAAAGCAGGACATGTGCAGAAGTGGCAGGAACTATAGCAGGTGTAGAGTTTGCCTGAGCTCCCAAGAACCTGAAACAAAGGCAGATGGAGGGGGTGAAGTCAGAGGCAGCATTCACTTTTAATTTCCCTAAGTCTCAGCCTGTGTCTGGACTGATGTCCCTTTTACAATGATTCACTGCATGCAGCTGGCAAGTGGGTGTCACAACACGAAAGCTGTCACAACACAATCCATCTAATCTTGAAGCTCCTCCGCTTTCTCTCCACCCCTCTCCCTACAGGCGAGGAGTGCTCCCATACTTGCAGCAGACCTCAGACTCCAGTGACTTCCCTGCTGCTAAGAGATCAGGAAAAGTGCAATGACACCAAGCACAGAGCCCCCTCCCCTGATCTCCCATAGCACAGCGAGCTGCCAGCCCCTCCAGGATAGATGAACATGATGAAAACTCTTGTCACAGAAAACCCATTTGAGAATCCACCACAGGCCTGGGAGTGGAAAGAGAGCAGCAGTGAGCACTTGCAGTGAAGCCTTTTCTAACCAGCTCCAGTGGCTGATGGCTGCAAAAGCTCTTGCTGTTCTGCCCCCAAAGCAGCTGCAGCTATTGGAATCTAGTTTTGTCTGAATAAACAAAGTTAAGTCTCCAGAGAAGAAGCCTCTCTGCTCCATCTCTGGTTTGGGAACAGCACTGCCTCCTTTTCCCACATGCTGTTCCTCTGCGAGGCTGGTACTGAGGCATATTCCCTCTGCACCATGGGCACAGGATGTGGGATATCAGGTGTGGGAACCATTCATTTCCAGCATGGAGAGGCTGACGGGCAAGCTGTGAGCTGCTGGAGCTGACTGCGTGATATAGGAAAGCCAACGTATGGATTATTTCTCTTTTGGTTTCCTCAAGACTGGGAAATAGATTTTAGAAAGCTACTTTGAGATCCAGCTGCTTTCCCCACTCCTATTGCAAGGGAAGGGTCTGCAGGAG